CTCTCTCTACCCTAAAACTCCATTTATCTCTCTTCGCTTCTCGATGAGTTTACCAGACAAGGGGGTTTAGCTTGAGCTCGAACACGAGCACACCTTCTTATGTGTGAGAGAGAGATGGAGTTTTAGAGAGATAGATGAAGTTTGGGTTTTAGAGATAGATGGAGTTTGAGAGAGAGAGAGAGATGGAGTTTGAGTTTTAGGGAAAGAGATATAGTTTTGAGAGATAGAGACGATGATGTAAGAGTGAGAGATGAAGTTTGAGTTTTAGAGAGAGATGGAGTTTTGAGAGAGAAAGATGATGATGGGAGAGAGAGATGGAGTTTTAAAGAGAGAGAGAGAGTCATTTCATAAGTTGTTAATGCCAATAATATATGGTCAAAAGGGTTTAGGGTTTCGAAGATAGAGAAGATGGAGTCATTTTGGTTACCGGTAATATTTTCAATTTTTAAGTCTAATGAGATATATAAGTTAAAAATAAGGGATAATAAGATATTTTTCTTTATTTTTAATATCAAAACCGCCCAAAACCAGTTCAGTTCTAACAAGGAAGTTACCGATTAGATCTCCCCGTTTTTCCAACACTTTTCTAAACTAAGTGATTAGCCCCAGTTAATATGGATGAGGTGTTCTTCCAAACCCTATTTCAGAATGGTGTACAATATGATTTTTTTCTCATTGTGGAATTAATTTTATTATATCTCAAATAATGTTATTGTCTTTCTTTCCCTCTCTAGATTTTTTCCAGAAAGTGTTATGGTCTATTTTTCCCTCTAGATTTTTTATTCGTTTTTTTAGAGCCCAAGCCCTATACCTATTCTCTCACTCTATCTAATCGAAAGTCGGTTGTTAGGAGTGGGGTTTGGGCTTGAGTCGATTAACCGAAAATCAGTTTCGGTTAGATCTAATGAGAGAATAGGTATCGGGCTATAGGCATAGATATAGCCGCATGACCTGTTTTGGTATGGGGCTTGAGGCTTAAGGATTTTCCTCTAGAGATCTCGCTTTTTGTACGTGTACTTCTCTCACCCCTCTTTCTCCCTCTCTCTCTCTCTCTAACTGCCCATGAATTTTGTTAAAGAACCCCTCCACTCTATTTTCATTTCATGGGCTTTCATGAGCCATTCTCTCTCTCTCTCTCTCTCTATTGTTTACATGCTTGTGCCTGTACACGTGTAATTAGATGTGGCATTGAGATCATAGCACATATGTTGTAAATGGCAGCTGGCATATAAGCATTCAAATTTCTTGAGTGTTTTTAAGGGTTTCACTCATATTTTGATTAAGTCTTCTCTAAAATTTTGGAATTTGAACTCTTGGTCTCTTAATTATTGTGGAAAATGCCAAAACAAATTTGTCGTAGAATTGGATTCAAGCCAACGCTCAACGCCCTCCTATCTGCGCCACTGACTGGTAAAATACATGCATCATGCATGAGGGAAGTGTGAGAGAAGATTTGTAGCCCAACAATAGAAATTATTGCATTGAGAAAAGCGTGCGGTTTTTATAGAGTTTAGGCTTTAAACAATCGTACCTTTAATTAGTGTCGAGAAACGTGGTTTCAATATTAAAAATCTTTGTGATAGTCTTGAAATATATTTTTATATTTATTTGTAAAGTAGCGTAGATCAATAGATTTATGAAAATCTTGAAAATTGATGGTCTAAAAATGCGTAACAAGATGCATTATTTTCAAAGCTTGAAATAATATATTTTTATAACATATTTATCTGGCCTGTCGATTTTCAAGATTTCAAGTATTTATAGATTTGCTCAATGCGTAACATTTTTGAAATTTTAAATTTTGTAATTGAAGATGTAGATTTACTGGCCATCCTAGAAATTTCTGACACCAAACCTATATTTTCCTACAAAATTTAGAAATACTCCTTAATTTAATCATTCAAAGTTAACGCTCATGCGAATAACCCCTTATATTAATATTGATGGGTGCCCAACATGCTTATAGGGAGGGAAATATGGTTGCGGATCCTTTGGCCAAAGTATAGCGGTCTCTATTAATGAACAACTTTGTGGTGCATTTGTCCCCCTTATTTTCTAATGCCTTACGTTTCATCTTATGTTGCTAATGTTCCTTTACCGAGGGCTATATAATGTTAGTCCCAATAAAAATAAATAAATAAATAAAATCAAGAAACGGCTTATATGGATCTGTCCTTAAATCACACGAGGGATTTAAGATTTTATACCAAATCTTATATATCAATCACTACAGTGATAGGGATTTAAGGTTCTATACTATAGTGATAGTGACATGCAACCTTGTGAGTCCTTTTTTGTGAGTCTCATTCACCTTAGATGTCTCATTTTCATCATTCCCTCTCGATTTCTCTTGAGGGGTTAACCTCTTTGCATAG